AGGAGTTGGCTGATGGATTTATGGTGTTGCACTGCCTATTCTGCCTATTTTGAAATTGACTTCAGACTGATTTGTGAGGTATTGGGGAATGGAAACTTGCAGAGGCATCCTTATTCTTGTTTGCTTTCTGTAAGCTCTCTGGACTGCCAAAATCTGGGGTAAGCCCTCTGATACCAACAATCTGCAGACTGTGACATTCATCAATGTATGACCACTGACTGGTGCAGAATAATATGACTTCTTATCCTGAATTGAAATTTGGTTCTGAAGATAGCAACTATTCTATTAAGAAAAGATTTTTCTACCTTTAGAGTTGGCAAAACAAAATAACCAGCTTTATGCAAAGAACATTTTCAAAAATTTAACAAAGCAATTTTTGAATCCCTGGTGACACCAGTGATATCAGAATAAAGCACTTGGCCATATGGGATTAAAGAATGCTTGATGTGTAATTCCATCTGCCTTTTCTTTCTTGGCTGAACAGAGGCAAATTTCTTATCCATTCATTTCCTCTTTGTTTTTTCCAGTTTCTGATAGTGCTGTAAGAATATGGTCATCCTTACTTGAAGGTTTAGCTAGATTATTTGTCAACCAGAGATTTTTACATTTTGTTAAACTTGTATCTGCAGATAGTGAATTTCTCCTAAACAAATTTCACTGAAAAGAATGAAAAGTATATAAAATCCAATTGTGCCTATTTATTTATACATACCTTGTTTTGTTCAATTAAAATATCCTCAAGGCAGCCTACAGCAATATATAAATTCATTAAAATTCAATGACTAGTAAGTACAAAGGTTACTGTAAGCATTCCAGTTCCTCCTCAAGAGATATTCCCAATCTATTTTGTCCCTGGGATAAGAACTAAACCCATCCCTAAATGCATACAATGTCCAAGAATGCTTTCTATTGATCCCATAATAGTAGCTGTTTCAGGTGGAGTTTGAAATGAATTAGTAATACTTAAAACAATTTCCCCCAAGCTTTCCAGGTGTCTCACCTAATGGCTATGCTGGCTGGAAATGATGGAAAGTGCAAAGCAATACATGTGGAAGACGCCTGTATTTGGGGACAGCTGCCCTAAAGTTTTATCAGGCTGCTCAGACTTGGCTGGAAGTCTCGCAGGAAGGAGATTCCACAGCCTGATCATTGCTAAATCATTGCAAATATGCAAAGCAGCTCAATAATTGAAGCATGCACAAATTAAAACACTTGGTGAATTGAAATATTCCAATACATTGTGGTGTTGAGATGCAATCTCATAAGTTCCCTAATTTTCTAGGAGAATTTTTTTCTCCATCATTTTCCAGTCATACTGTGATAGCTCTTGGCATATGTAGACTGCAAACTTTGTGACTGCTAGCAAGGCAGCATGTGAATGTATCACTCCAGAATGCTTTCCCTTTTTTTGGTTTTGTATGTCAGAATGAAGAATAAATTGTGGTATTTTGAATTCGGCACAACAGAAACATTTGCAGCCACTTGCAAGAAGCTTCACGACTATGTAGAGATTGAGGTGAGTCTCCCCAAATCCTTGAAGTCTTGATTTTCTGTAGGAGGTGTGTTACGATTGTGCCAGTAGTTTCTTAGAATTGTGTTCATGTATCACATTAAATCATTACACATAGTTTATTGAACAAACGAGAGAAGTCAGAGTCAAACTTGCAGAGAAAGAGTTCCATGGTTTATTGGAAAATTATTCCTGGCAGATTTCTGGTTTGTTTTTCCCTTCTTCCTTAACTTCACCTGCATTCCATCTCTGGAGTCGTTAACGCTTTAGTCAAAAAACTAGGCTGTAACAGCTCGGTGCGGCTTACAGGATAGAGTAAAAAAATCATCAAAAATGCATTAAAACATAACAGATATAAATTCAAAAGCTCAAGCAGTGGTGTTAACTGAATGTATTTTATTTATTTGTGAATAGGCACGCCAAGAGTTATGGTAGTAATTGACTCAAAAGATATCTCTGAGCATTGGTCTAGTCTTTATGTAACCAAAATAGCACCATCCATGATAGCCCCAAACTGTGGGGTGGAGGGGGCCGGGGCTGGACTTGTTTTCCTGAGTTTACCCTGGTGGTACTGCAGGGGAATACTGAACATCACCCAGCCACATCCTTCATGACAATTCAGTATCTATGAAGCATTCCATTCTTTCAAGAATTATTGTCATCAATACAAGATATTAATTCCCCCCAATTCAAAAACTTCAGTATCTTCTCAGCCGAAACAGAGTATTTTTTAAACTTACTTGGATCACACATAGTAGATAAATCACAAACATACATTTATGGAAATTTCACTTATTGACTTTACAGTCTTTTAGAACAGCACAGTGGGTTGCTGCTCACCTCCTAATTTGTCCAAAAGAAGAAGGTGGAGGACGAGAAGGAGGTAGGGACAGGCAAAGCAAAGGACACCCTATTTGCCTTTCTACTGAGGGTTGCCAGGTGAAGAGAAAGGGCCTCTGTGTTCTCCTAACTGCCCCTGCACTGCTGGGTGTAAGGGAGAGGGAGGAATAGGAAGACGAGGGTGCATTGGCCATTTCTTCCAATCAGTGGTTAGCAGGATCCACAGTGCAGGAGGGAGGCAGGAGAAAGCTTCTCAGAAAAAGCCTTGCCTGATGGGACAATGCCAGAGAGCACTTTAGTTTTCCTCTTGAGGTTTATGACCTCTACAGCCTTCATGAACACAACAGTCCTCTCTTTACTTTTTAGTGCTGGCTCATGACCTTGATTCTGGCCCACAATGATAGGATCGAACAAGATTTTAGATTCCACACATCTGAATGCTTTCCAATTAACAATATACCTCCTGTGACTCCTGCATTGTTAGCATGTTGACAGAAGTTTTTTTCCCACAAACAGATGGCAGCTGCAGCTGCGCTTTTAGTGACATCTCCATCCACTGAAACATTGTGAGATGTTTTGCAGGGAAAGAGTTGGTAGATTTATAGTGGAGAAAGCTTCTGTTTGCATACAGATACCCAAAACACAGCTCAGTGGAAGAAAAAAAATGCCATAGACGTGGAGTGGCATTTTAAAAATGTATATTCCTGTTTTATGGATTCCCTTTAAGTGTATTTGTTGGCACGGGCATCTGAGTGTTTGTCATCTCTGAAGCTAGTTTTGGGAGAACAGAATTATGCCCTTACGGCTATACTTCAGGGCTTGGCTGGAATTAAGTTTGTTGTGAATGTTTGTAAATTCTGTGACTGCCTACCACCCTTCTAACTACATGGAAACAGCCTTTAATTAGGGAGGGGGAAATGTGCGGTTCACCAGCAGTACTAAGAAGTCAGTCGTTTCATAGTTTGTACTTGGGATTTTGTGTGGTGTGTATTTTCTATAAACCATTTCCACTCCCCAACCTCATCCAAACTGTACTTCTTTTAAGGACTGAGAGTTGTTTTTTGTTTTTTTCAGTGTCCATAGTCTAACACCATAAATGTACTGTTTGTTAATTATTCAATAAAACTAGAATATGGAATTGTCAGTCAAAGCCCACACCTTGCCATTGTGTTTCATGCTTCTTCAGTCTGCTTTGTTTGCCTCCCCTCAATTCCTCATGACGAATGGGGACAGGCATCCTCACTCAAGGGCTGATACAGGGTCAGCTCCCATCAGCTGTCATTCTCCAAGAAATCATTTCAAAAGGCCCTGGGCTCAATGGCTTCTCTGATTGCTTCCCTAGTTGTGTAAGTGATCCTGGTCCTACTATTTCTGCTGTGATTCCAGTTTTGTATGCAGAGAAGTAAAGGCCAGTCTGACCTCAAATCTGGGTATGGATGGCTTTGAGGAATACAGTGCATTCCTCAGGCCACACCAAAAAGATTCCACATGGACATAGCACCCTAGAGCTCACAGCTGGTTTTTTCATACATCTCTTTCTGTTCCCCACTCCTATTTCTTTTCTCATAGTATCTTTCAAAGGTGCCAGTGAAACAGATATAAGCCCATCCACTCCAGCCTGCTCTTTTTCCTTTCATTCATTTAACATGATCAAAGTTTGCTGATCTGGATTATTATTTCAAATTCTTTGTAGACTACCATTACACTCAAAAGGATTCTTCCTTTAGCCTGTACAGATGCTGATGTGTGCTTAAGCCATCCACTTTTATTTTCTAGGGTTACACCCAGTCACAGCCTCCTGATCATACTGCAGACAGCACCTTCAGGGGCTAATAATAGCCAGGAAGGAGAGAGGAGCTTTTTAGAGGAAATTGGAACTCATCCAGACCCAGATCAGGAATACGTTTCAGTTTGATTACTGTCAAAAAGAGTAAATGACATAATGTATACTGCTCCTCAGCTGTCTCAGATGTCTTAGCTGGCTACATCCCTTGCTCATTCATCACTCCCAAGCTTTCTTCCTTCCAATACTAGTCTAGCCTATCCCTTTGGGTACACGATGTTTAAATAAAAAAGAACCAGCAAGGAAGGACATTCTTGGTATCTTTGAAGAACTTTTTCCATTGTCCAGCTATTCTTAAAATATGAGAAGGGCTGTGTTTAGTTTGGTGTGGTATTTAAGTGAACGCTACTATTACCTCCCACGTCCTGCTCACCTAGTACATCTATAAAATAGATGCAGACTAAAATGGTATTTGGCACTTTCCCCCAGCCATCAATTGCTGAGATTGTATTTAGTCTGTGAATCAGTGCAACTCCTAAATCCTTCCCTATATGGATTCATGCCTGAGAGGCTGAAGTCAGACATGGAATATACAGATAGCACATTTTGCCAGAAACATTTCAGACAATCTGAATAGGCAAGTGATTAGTGCTTGGGTTCCTAACAGCTTAGTACCACACATGTCTTCAGTTTGTAATTTAGTCATGCAACATATGAAATAATGAAATAAAATGTCTTTGGATGCCTTTTCTTCACACAAATAATCAGTACTACCCTCTAGATTTCTAGCACAAGCAGGGAGGGCTTCCAAGCTACCCTGAGAGCTACATGGTGTAAAGAAAGGGAAAATTGCCAAAACTGTGGAGTACTAATTAAAACTGTGGGATTCACTTCTTCAAGATGTGGAAATGGGTCCCCACATGGACAGTTTTAATGGGGAATCAGATACATTTATAGACGATAAAGCTGCTGCAGCAAGTAGTCCTGACAGAGATATATTGTTTCCAGTATCAGTAGGCCCCTGAGGATCAGTTGCCAAGAACACAAGCCGTGAGCACTATTGAATTTCAGTCTGCTTGTGGGCTTTCCATAGGTACTTTGTTGGGAACAGAATACTACACACGAAAGGGTTTACACTGGTCCGCCATTGCTTTTATGGCACTTGTTTCGAATTTAGCACTGGTAGGCCATTGATGAGATGGGAAGAAAATACTTTAGCTGTATTTGTTCAACTTTTGACAGATTCCACACTGCAACAACTCATCTATTATACAAAAAAACCTAAATGTATCCCCTCCCAGTACTGGCTGAAAAATACAACCCTAGTTTCTCAGCCCTGGATCTTTCTGCAAATGTATGTTCAGAAGATTGCAGTTTGAGGGCTGCAAAGTGTTAATCTGATAGCATTTTAAGATGAAAGCAACAGTTTGCCCTCCTTTTAGCTCCAGGCATCTGTCATGAGCACAGGAGAAATGGCAGTTTTGTTTTGGAAATTGGCATCAGTTACAGTTGTAGTCGCCTAGAAATAAAGTTGTTTTTTTCCCCAGCTGCAAATGTCTACTTCCAGTCTTCCTGCCAACAACCCATCAGCTGCCCTTTCTCAAAGAGGCCATTGTACCACACTGGCACAGAGACAAAGCAGGGTTAAAGAGGAAAACACACTTGCTCGCCATTAGATGCTCATTCCTCTGCTGTGTGAATATATGGCTTCCATATCACCTTCTGTAGCCTACCAGAATTTTGCTACCCAGAGAAGCACAAGGGAGGTTCGTTTGCAATGTCCCCAAGCAAAACAACGGAGCAGAATTGAGTACAGACCAAAGAACAGCACTTACAGTCCTTTGATACTTATCTGGCTTATGTGCAGACCAAAATAATTGTTTTTCAATTATAGCTTTTGCCAAACATGTTATTATGCTGCTTTAGATTGCTCTTTAAAAAAAAAACAAAAAACTATTTACACCTCGTTTCCAATAATCTCTGGTTTCAGTTGGAGAGGGAAGGCATAACCACACAACTAAAAGGATTCATAAAAGTATGAAGTTTGATCGTTTTTAAGTGTGTTATAAATAAATATTATTATTTCTGTGTTCACCTGACCTATTAGTAAACATTTTGCTTCTGCCATCCATAATTGCTTGTAAAATGATCACATTATTCACCATCTTCATTCCCTGCTTTAAACATTCCTTCTATTGTCAAAAAATAATACGCAATATTCAGAACCAATAGGTGATAAAGCCTCACAAAATTAACAGGATCTGCAGGCATCTTAAAGTGATCTTGAATACAAAAGGCATCGCCTTGGGTGTATATAGCCATGTTGGCTGGGATCATGGATGTTGTTATTCATCAAGAAGGTCACCAGATTGGGAAAGACTGGTCAACCATACCGAAGCTTAAAGTAATCCTTACTGGATTACTTATAATTTACTCATGTCACTCCTGATAACATTTATACCATACTTTAAAAGGCATCAGGACATTTAGTTGGGTAGGCCCCATTTTCATGGATCAAATGTTTCATTCACATCTATTGACCTGTTCAGACTTGTGTATGAAAAGCAAGGAATATAGTGCAAGGTTTATGCTTCAAAAAAAATGTTACCCGTGGATTTTTAAACTGCACATATTGTGGTATATTTAGACTCTAGTTAAAATGGTCTTAAGTAGGTAATACATTGTTCAGACGGTACTGTGTATAAGCCAATTCTGTTTAGTATTCCTTCTGCTTATTCAACTGAATGGGGTCCTAGCCATCTACCTCCGAATTTTGAACTGATAGCATCACAGCTGATCGTTTACCATTGCTGTGATTAATTTTGGATCTTGATCATTTTGTTTTATTGTTTTCATGACAATTAGAAGTTACTTGGATATTTAGAAAGGTGGAATATAAATATCTAAATACTTCACGATATAGTCCTTAATAGATAATTCTAGATAAATTGCATAAAACCACTCTTTTATCTTTTTCTCCCTCTGTATCAGTGTGATGGAACAGTTTTGGATCTGACTAGCACTTCATTGGAAGGTATTGCAGTCCTCAATATTCCCAGCATGTATGGTGGCTCCAATCTCTGGGGGGAAACCAAGAAACAGCGCAGCTACAACCGCATGAGCAAGAAAATACCTGAAAAGTTGCAATCCTCAGTGGTTACTGATGCCAAGGAACTCAAGTTTTGTGTCCAAGGTGAGGGGCCTTAGAATTTTGAGTGCTGTAAAAGTAGCATATGGGAAGTTGGAGATATTTAGAAGTCAGCCTTGCATATCTACAATGGCTACAGAAAAAAAAAAGTATCTCCTGCATTCAATACCTGACAAGTTTGAAGAACCAAAAAATAAGATTTCTTAGGGGCATGCAGTTTAATAACAAATAACAACCTACTTCTCTGTGAAAATGAAGGCCATATATGTATATAAGTTGAGTTTGCTACATACTAAAGCAATCAGCTCAAACCAAAGAATAACAAGAATGTAATCACATGTAATAACAGGAATGTTGTCACATTTACCAGAACATTATCATGGGAGATAATTTTATTTTTGTAATACAAAACCTACATAAATAAGTCACTATCTCTGCCACCCTGTTCTTCCCAGTAGAAGAAGTGGGTGCTGTGTCAAGATCCAGGATTTATGTGTCCATCGTCATAGAATTAAGGAATTGAAAGAGACCATGGAATCCAACTCCTTGCTCACTACCAGAACCTACTCAAATTAAAGCATATATGAGATATAGCTTAGTTTTTGCTTGAACACACCAGGTGAAGGGGAATCCACCAATTCTCTGGATAATTGGCTTGACTGTTAAGAATTTTTTTCTAAACATTCAGTCTTGAATCTGTTTTCATGATTCCAAGCAATGCCCTCTGTGATGGTAGCACAGTTCTTGGCCTTCTTCTATGTAACATCTCCCAGAGTTTTCTCAAGGTTAAACATTCCCAATTCCTTCAATCTTTCTTAATAGGACTGAATTTCCAGACCCTTGGCTATCCTTGGATATCTTCTCTGAACCTGTTGCAGTTTGACTGAATCTTTCCTACAGTACGGTGTCTAGAACTGGCCACAGTACTTGAGGTGGGATATGACCAACACAAAATTAAGTGATTTCCTGTGGTTTGGAAACAATACTTCTGCTGATGCAGCATAAAATTGCATTTGGCTTTTTTGAAAGCCACATCACACTGCTGACTCATATTCAATTTGTGATCAGCTACAGTTCCAAAATCTTTTTCACAAATGCTTTTGCCAAGTCAGGTACACATGTGCAGTTGATGTCTGCTTACTAAGTGAAAAATCCTGCATGTGTTCCTGTTAAATTTCATTCTGTTATTTTTGGCACATTTCTCTAACATAAAAATAATTTTGAAAGTTATTTATATAATCTTTGGGGTATTAGCTATCCCACTTGACATTGTAATATTTGCAGATTTAATAAATATTCCATCCAAGCTCATGGGGTGACTTTGGACCAATTGCTCTCAGCCCATCCTACCACAAGGCTGTTTTATGGGAAATTATAAGAGCAGGAAGTACTGTAAATACCATCTTGAGCACTTAAATGAAAGGAGGGATAGAAATCAAATAAATAAATAAATACCTCTTGCCCTGGATATTTGAACTCATTCAGAGTAAACAGGTATTCCCTGAATATTTTTTTATCATTCTCAAATTTCAAACCTGTTTCTTAATCCTGCTTTTCACAAATATCTGGTGGAAACCACACCCTTACTTTGAGAAAACTGATCAGAATAGAAGCTGAAAAGCTTCCGCTTTTCTTTGTTACCTACTAGCAATTTGCCATCATTATTAAGAAGCTGGATCTTTGCATAATGTGTCCAAAATAGGATCATTTGAACCTTATTATCTGTGCCTTGAGCAAAACTCTGGATTGATTTCTTTGTTTGCTTGGCTCTTCTCAAGAGTCTTGTCTGACAACAAATTTAAAAGTATTCTATCCCACTTCTTTAAAGTCCAACTTTCACATCCACAGAAATCATTGCCTGCACGATTCTAATCTTCTAGGTACAACATGTCACAGTATCTGAATATTTTTCTCAAGGCATTCTTTCCTACTGTATCAAGTACTAGTTTGTGCTGTATTTTTTTATTGTTGGTACTATTGATAGCTGGTCCCAAAAAGGCAGAAGCTATTCAATATCTTCACTGTCTGTTCTTAGACTGCTTGCTGTACATGTCATCATTAGTTTGGCCTTCTTTGTATTTAACTGTAGTCTCATTTTTTTCACCGTGCTCTTGACTTTCATTACTAGACCTTCAGATCGTTTGCACTTTCATCTATGGGAGGTGTGTCATCAACTTAACATAGGTTATTGATGTTTCTTCCTCCAATTTTAAAGCCCTGCTCATCTTCTTCCAATCCACCCTCCCTCAATATATATTCATACATTGATTAAATAAGGGGAGAGTGTAGAGCTTGTCTCACTTTGCCAACCTGGGACTAGCCTGTTTTGCCATGTTGCATCTGGACTGTGGCTTCCTGTCCTGTAAATAGGTTCTGCATGAGAACAATGTGATGTTCCGGGATTCCCATTTTCTTAAGGATATTCTATGGCTTAACAAGGTCAACACAACTGAAGGTCTTTCTATAATAAATGAAACACATTTATAATTTTGGTATTCTTTTGCTCTCTCCATTATCCAGCACATATCGGCAATAATGTCTCTTGTTCCTCAGTCTTTTCTAAAACTGGCTAATACATCTGGCTTTTCCCTCTCCAGCAGGGCTCTAATCTGCATTGCATAATCCTAAGCATTAGTTTGCTGCCATGTAAAATTAAGGATTTTATGTTATAATTTGTGAATTCAATTAAGTCTTTCTTTGGTATTGGTATGTTGACTGACCTCTTCCAATCTATTGACCATTGTGTCATTCTCCAGCTAGGCTGGCATAGTTTGGTTAAAAACTTTATTGATTTTTCCTCTATTGCTTACCATATTTCTGAGGATATTCCATCAATTTCTGTAGTCTTCCAACTTGGAAATGATTAGAGTGCTGATCTAACTTCGTCTTCTAGTACTAGAGATTCTTGGAAATAGGATATATATATTTAAGATATCTTGAATGTTGACATCTCTGCTGTACAGAATTTCAGTATATTCCTTCCATCTTCTTGGAATCAGGTAATATCTGTCCAATGGCATCCTTTAGCATAGCCATTTGAGGTTGGAATCTCCTTCTGAGTTCAGATATCTTTTGGAAGATTTTGCTGGTTTTTCTGTTTCCATTTTCAGTGTCTTTACAGATGTAATTGTAATACTGCTTCTTGTCTCTTCTAACAGCTGTCTGCAATTCTTTGTTAAGTTCCTTCCAGAGATCTTTGTCTTTCTCAGCTTTGGCCTCTCTTCTCTTCTTGGCAATTCCTACCACCTATTTGACATCCAGTTAAGTTTCTCCATTTCTTGTCTTTGACAGTCTCTTCACATTTATTCTTAACAACTTCTTTAATTTCATTACACAATCCTTCTAGTTCCTAGCAATGAGGCTCAGGATTTCAAAGTAATTTATTTATTTATTTATTTACAGGACTTATATGGCTGCCTATCTCACATAATGATTCTAGGCAGCTCACAACAATCCATAAAAACAAAGATGAAAACAAGGTGCCAGACCAAACAGCCTTCCAGCTCAACTCCCATACTAGCTTATTGCTTGGGGGAAGAGCCACCCTAACCCTCTGGAAGGCTAAAAGGGTAGGGATCCCTCAGATCTCAGGTAGGAGGTATCCACCATGAAGGCACACATCTGAGGTCCCATCAGGTGATAACATTTAAGGGAGGGGGCCTGGAGCATGCCCACCCTATCTAACTTAGTAGAAAGGGAAGATACCTTAAGGGAGTGGTGGTCCTGCAAATAATCTGGCCCTGTGCCATATAGGGCTTTAAAGGTGATAACCAGCACCTTGAATAGCACCTGGAAAGCAACTGGGAGCTAGTGCAGCTCACACAACAGTAGTGTTACTCAGGTAAATGTGGGGCACCCAAAATTGTGTGTGCTGCTGCATTTTGGACTAGTTGCAGCTTCCAGATGGTCTTCAAGGGCAGCCCCATGTAGAGTGTATTGCATTAATCCAAACAGGAGATGACCACGGCATGAATGACTGTGAGCAAGGCCTCCTAGTTCAGGGATAGGTACAACTGGTACACAAGATGAATCTGATTGGTTCAAGGCCCCCCAACCATGGCTGCCACCTGCTCTTCTAGCAGGAGCCACAACTCCAGGAGAATCCCCAAATTGCGCACCAGATCTCTCCAGGGGAGTGTTATTCCATTCAGAGTCAGAGATGTCAATTCTCCTGACCCCAGGAGGGTCAAAGATCCACAACTACTCCATCTTGCTATGGCTGAGTCACAGCCAGTTTCTCTCCATCCAGGCCCTTACAGCCTCAAGGCACTGAACAGCATCACTTGCCTGGCATGGGGTAGAGATGTATTATTGGGTATCATCAGCATACCAATGAAACCAGACTCCATGTGGCTGGATACCTCTCCCAGTGGCTTCATATAGATATTAAATAGGAGAGGAGAGAGACCCGAGCCTTGAGACACCCACATAACAGGGGCAAAGGGCTGGACCTCTCCTCCACCACTTGCATTGACTGGTACAGGCCACAGAGAAAGAGAACCATCACAAAACAGCGCCCCCGCCCCCCCACTCCCACTCCCCAGAGCCGTTCCAGTAAGATATCACGGTCGATGGTATTGAAAGCCATCAAAAGATCGAGAAGGGCCAGGATGGACTCACCACCCCCATCCTGAGTCCTCCAAAGGTTACCCACAAGAGCAGCCAATGCCATGTCAGTACTATAGCCCAACCTGAATCCTGACTGAAAAGGGCCCAGATAATCCTGATGTTCTCCTTGAAAATATTGGTTATATGCTCAAGTTCATATCTTGGAATCTGGTTGGCTTTGTTCTGCTTTAGCTTGAGTTGGAACTGGCACATGAGCAGTTCATGATCTATCATACAGTGAGCCCCTGGTCACATTTTTGCTATTATAATTGAGCTGTTCCACCTTCCTGTACCAATAATATAGTGAGACTGATTTATGTGTGCTCTCTGGTGATGCCCATGTATATAGATATCATTTTGGGTTTGAAGAATGTGTTAGCAATGAAAAAATTATTGAATTGGAAGAAACTGATAAATCATTCTCCTGCTTAATTTCT